ACCTTTACAAAACAACATCATCAGACAGTATATGCAAAGAGCTTTCATTTGATGTGCAGGATGTCAACTAAATCTTTTTTTCCTGGCGAAAATAAATGTATTCTCATATACTATTGTATAAATATACCGACTAAACAGCATTTATGCTATATTTCAACGATCGCATAGAAGCGCATATCAGAAGTGCTTTTAATGCAGATCAGGTATATGATGAAAAGCGACGAGTTGTACAGGATAAACAAACCGCTTCATCATTGAATTGAGACGCCAACTTTAAGTACTAAGTTATGCCAGTTGAGACCTTCCATGTACCGTATTTCATGCCAAAGTAATACCGTATAAAGGCGCGTAAATTAATGATTTCTTTTGTCAAATTTACGCCTAAATTTTTCGTAGGGTGAGTCTAATTGTGCACCTTTGAGTCATAAAAAACAAAATACCTGAGTTATACAATTTTGACAAGAGTAAGCGCTCGAGCTGCCTCTCTCGCAAACCTATCTCCTCCCTGGTTTTGAAACTTTTCTTCGATCGTTATACGCCATGCAAATCAGCGTTCAAAGGCGAATAATAGTACGCATTGCTTTTTTCAAAAATTTGTTTCATTTTGATGTCATGGAGACGTTCCCTTTCCGGGAAAAAAAACGCGACTTTTTCCTTGCACCAGAACTGCAGATCTCTTTCACCGGAAAATGTTTCACACGTCTCTATTTGTCTAGGTTTTGTGGATTTTTTGGTTTGTTTAGTATCCGCCAAGGGGACGATCCCAGTGTCATACTATACGAGAATTGTAAGGTTTAAGTAATTTCTTGGAATGGCAGCGGAGAATAAATGAGTAAAAATTGAGTATAAAACTGCTACACAGTACATTTTGAATTAATTAATTTAAATTGGAGGAGACGAGTTATAAAAGAGAGCTTATTTACTCACTACAGCTATGGCAAAGCAATAAATGACATTAAACATAAACTGCACGTGTTTGGTCAATAAAAGTGTCCACACCCACATATATGTATGAAAAAACGTTCTATTAACAATATAGTCGACTGTATTCGGCCTGTCCACGTAACGGTCGCCTTTTCGTAATTCCGTCACGATTTTTGTTGTTTTACGAGTCTCGTGGCGCTCGAACAAAAGGAAACTCAAGGACCGTTTATATCTAGTCTTGTAGAGAAAAGTGAGCTGAAGAAAATATGATATTTTCTGTTTCCACAGAGTGTCGTGGTTCTCAAATATAACAAAAGTTATAACGAAAATTCGAAGTTTGTACATTCATTTTAGTGCAAATGATCACAGCCTATGCGACATTTATCGAAAACTTCGAATTTTCCTTCCCGAAGTCGTGTGATGCTCAAGATTGGTACACAAGGGTAGTTCGACATGCTCTAGAACATCAGCTACACGAGAACACAATACGAGAAGCTTTAAGGTGGGTTTCGGGCCAAAAACCGATTTTTAGAGGTTTTAGTTTTTGGCCTTCCCTGGCCAGAATTGAAGTTTAATAAATTTTCTGATTGTGTAGGGTTGTAGAGAAATGTTTGCTCTATCAAACTCATGTCATACGACAGCTCCGTGCTATAAGAACTTTCGGCGCTAAGCCAACTTAAAGAAGTTTTCTAACAACGTAAACCACACGTCTCTAGCTACTTCCGCTGAGAAGTTATTCAAGTTGCAACCAACTGCATTGTCCTATGAAATGGATAGTATTTTGTATATATATAGTCAAGATTTTTCTTCTTGTCATATATTTTCCTGATGATGGTATGAGTACATACCGAAAGCTAGAAAATAAACGGAATAACAAGTGAATTTAGTTTGAATGCAAAATGTATTTTGTAGCAGTTTTATACTCAATTTTTACTTATGTAAGATGTAAGATTTAAGTTAATCGAGAATAGTAGTATGTTATTGCCAGTATGTTATTGGTATGGTCGGCGATAACTGTTTGATTCATGACTGTAGGATTCAACGATTCCAGGTTTCGTATCTCCCGGGGGTGTGGTGTGGGATAACCATACTATTCAGGACTCGAAGGTCCCACTGTTGGTAGTTGGGAATTCCAGGATCGCAGTGTTATGGTTTTTGAGAACTCCAGGATTCTGCTAATCGATAAGTCGATTATCCTGCCCTTATGGTTTTCGGCGAGTATACTAACCCGGAATTTCACGGTATCAGTGTTCGAGGTTACAGTCTTCGAGATTTCCGCGAATCAAAAACTATTTCTCTTGCTTCCATCCCGCCACATTCTGAGCACCTTCGCAAAATCTGTGTACCCGAAACCACCAGAAGAACAGCTCAGATTGGCGCATTGAATGTTGATTTAAGTATTCACTCTCACCAACCCACCCAGGAAATGGAAGAAACCTAAAAGCCTAGACAAATAGCGACGTGTGAAACATTTTCCCGTGGGAAAATTTTAGAAACATTTTCTAATGGGAAAATGAAAGTAAGCAAAGACCTTTGAGAAAATTTCGCACATAGAAACTTTCCGGGAAAAATTTTCAGTTTCGTTTTTTTGGGAAAAGGAAATTCTTCATCCTATGAAACGATGTATGAATGATGACTCATCAACTGTGGTTATCACCAAGATGAATTACTGGTCACTATAATTAAATGTAATTTGTTGAAGTTTACCAATGATAATTTCAAAAAGAAGCAGCTCGAAGATTGTCTGCAGCATTTAAACTACGGTAGATAGAGACTTGGGGTTTGTGCCAGGTTGTAGAGTGACAACTGTTGAACTCCCATTATGCCCTGCAAATTATTAGAGACCTGAATCAGATGACAGCAATTCAAAAAGATGACAAAATTCTTTTTTTCGGAATTTTTACCTTTTTGGATAGAATTCATCGCGCTACTTAAAAACACTCAGTAGATTTTTCAAAGTCATTTTTTAGTAAAAAAGTTAAAGATATTGAGTTTTAAAAAAATGACCTAAAATCAGTGAAAGAACAGGGCGATTATTTGATCGAATCGGCCCCTGCTTGAATTCCATCGACACATACATGGTTAGATGCAGAATGAACAGCAAAACATTTCTAGCCACTCGGCAGACCTTAGAAATGCTCTCAGAAAAAATTGGGTCCAATTAACTGTAATCACTTCTGACACGTATTATTGGTCATATTTTCGAGTGTGTCTCTCTCGGCCTCATACCTCAGTAGAATTATTATATGTCATTCGAAAACTCTTTTTCTGCGCTATATTTCTATAAATCACATATACGGAAATAGTCGTTCTGAGGCCAAGTATGTTTAGAAATACTTCCGTCTATGGAAAATAATCTCCTATGTGCAAAAAGTCTAAGATAATCTATGACACCCTTTATCATCTAGCCACTACGATAAGTATACCATTCGATAGACAATTTCTCGCGCTACAATTTCATATATATAAAATACTGAGAAAAGTGATTAACACTTTGTGGTTCTAAATACAAGAAAAAATGACGCGTTTGTATCTGAAAAAAGTCAAATGATAGATTTACCTGTTTGAAGTTGGTTTAAGGTAGTCGTCGTTGGTAAATTTCCAGATTGATAATTTTGAAATAGATGAGCCATTTGTATAAAGAGATTTGCTTGAAAATGTGGGTCCTGCATTGTCGATTCAACCGGCGTTGTTGGATCTTTTTTAAGCGTACATGTAGATATTGAAACGTCTGGATTAATAGTTGATAATAATCAGTGAAACACCAGAAAGCCAAAATAGTTGATAATAGTTACAGACAATCATTAGGGGATACTGTTGTTGGCGTAGACGATGAATTGCAATTAGATAAATCTGATGAAGTCTCAGAGTATGTTGCAAACGTTGACGTTGATGAAGGCGTCAGAATCAATGGTCAGAGTAAACGATTGCGAACTGAACTATGATGACTGTGACGAGAAGTTGTCGACGGTGATATTGTTGTAGTTCTTGATGGCGTATCTAACAGATGAAATTGTTGCGTTTGATCCGTATGTGCTGATGATGCGTTTAGTGCCAGAGGTGAACCATCTTGTCCAATCGTCGCAATTGAACTATTCGATGGTGATTGTTGATTAAAGAATTGTATAGGATTTGGACGAATTTCATATTGTACACCATTACTTCCTTGTATTGACCGAATTTGTTCGTCTATCAGCAACTCATTGATTTTCTTCATCATATCAGCATTATGTTTATATTTATGAAATTCACTTACATATTTGGGTAAATTTGACGATGCTGTATAATGGTTTATAAATCTCGATGAAATGGTAGATTTCAGAGGATTAACTGATAATTCATATGACCGTTGAAAAACGGTTAATGAAAGGTTATGTTTATCGAGGCGTTTTTCGAATTCAATTCTTTCAGCCGGATCCTTTGGTATCGGCTCTTTCAGATAACTACCATTTTTACTCTTTTCAACCACTGTCCCTTCTTGCCACAATGAATAAGACTGAACAGAGAATAAAAAATAGTAATAATACTAATTCTAGAATAATGCAGGCAGGTCTTACTTGTTGTCTAATAATTCATTCAATGCCGATTCGATATCATGACGTTTGTTATGAAAAGGTCCATTTATCTTTTTTCCATTTAGATCAAAATAATCGGCCAGCGACGAACGATGAAATTGAGAGAAAGTAAAAGAATATTACGAGCCCCTTTTTCTTGTGATGATAATTGTTTCGTTGATGACTATAATGATGATGATTTTGGAATCAGTTGAGCATCAATTTAAAAGATTCTTAGTATCATACCGAATAAATATTCAAAATATCGAAACATATACATACATGTATCTAATTCGACATAGAGAACAGGTGTACCAAATTCATTTCGTTTAACTGCATTTGTAATAAATAATTCTTGTATTGTTTTTCTTGCTTTGATTATAAATTTATGACAAACATCTTTCTTTTCACTATGACTATCTACAAAATTTACATGATGTTGAATATTGGAATATGACACTCATAATATTTCGATAGATTTGAAACAGAACACAGTATCGAGGATATAATGTGGTCAGTTTTGCATGAAAATGTTGAACATAAGCGATATCGATGCTCAATCGTTCATCAGATAAATCTACAGCTTTATTGAAGGCATAACGATATGCTGTCTGTATATGATTCTCATCATCATCATTTAAATATTGTAAAGACAATTATGTCATTAAATCGGATGATTGAATTGAACCTTAGCAAAAAGCGGATCATTAATATTGGAAAGAAATAAAGAATGAACGATGATTACATACCAAACGGTTTTTTACTTAAACGATATTCGACCTTGCCTATCAAATGTGCAATTATTTGTAAATGATGTATTGCTGGTTGATTCAATGATCGATCTATTTCTTTCACATGCTGAGATCGTGCTGCGCCTTGTTTGCTATTTAATGCCAGAAAAGACATTCTATTATGGACACCGGTTAAAGCATCATCTTTGACAAATTGTTCTAACACTAACTTGTACTGCTCACCAGTCAGTGATGATGCAATTGATAGAGCACCGTTTTCTATCACATCAATTGTCGATCCAACAATAAAGAAGAAAACAAATTAATAACAGTAGAAGCTATGGGAAAACCTAATTTAGATATGCTCTACATACAAAATATATGTTTGATTAATTAAAAATGTATGTTAGTGCTATATAGGAGAAAAAGTATACAAATTTCTATGCATTTCTTATTTTCCTGTTAAACACTTTTTAAATTTTGACCACAATTAATACATTTTCAACTCGGTTTTATTAACTATTATGACTAGACCGAAAGAAAGGGTAATGTACAGAATTTGGTTATTGAACGGGTATTGATCGAACCTTCTTGAAAAAACTTGTACGCCGCAGCGAAACCCAAGTGCAGCGGCGATTATTGAAAAAAAGTTCAAAATAAAAGAAAATTTCTACTATTCATATGAATTCATTGAATTATTCTGACGTCTATTGAGAAACGTTGGTTCGTCACACGCTCACCTCTTCGACATCTGCACTTAACTGAAAATGTTTCTCTCCGTTTTTCTGATTTTACAGTTGAAAGATATCATATATCCGTGGTCGGCATAAGAAAAATGCTAGATTAATTTTATACTTTTCCAGCAAATAGAGAAAGGAAAGAAATTGATAATAGAGTGCCTTGGGGTAATTATGGTCAACTCATCAAAATTTAGTCGTATTTCAGCTATAGTTCGCTCAATTTTTATCCTGGAAAAGCGATATTTTACAGGTAAATAAAGGTGACTCCTGGCTATCGATTCATGTAAAAATTTTCTTAAAATTCATTAGTGTTAATTAGTACTAATCAATTTCCAGAGAGCACCTTTCGATTGGCAAGTTATGGTCTGGAGTAATTATGATCAGTCAACGTGTACCGTTGGGGTAATTCTGGTCAATACAGCAAAAATAGCTGTGATAACCTTAAGTCAACTTAGTTTCAACGGGGGATTTCGAGGAAAATAATTAAAAATTATATCATCTTGCAGAGAATTTCAAGCTCTACCATATACGTGAATTGCATGCTATTTGTGATTGCCATTAATTAATTAATTAACAACTACGAGAATATGTGTTTTTCGAAAAAAAGTCGAAAAAAACCACTTTCGAAATTGAGTGGCGATCACATAAGTATGAGGATCAGACGACGGTGAGTTATATGGTGGATAAGAATTTGGATCAGAACAGAGATAATTATTAACTGACGAAGTAGTAGGATGAAGATATGAGTAATTAGTTGAAAATGTTGTTAGAGAAGGAACAGAAGTAATTGGTGAAATAAAAAAAATTTGAATAGCCTAAAATTTAAATTTCATGATGTGAAATGTTACTTTTTAAGGTATTAGAAACCAAGCCTCGTACATTATTCCAAGGATCTGGTGATAGAGAGTACTGAGGATTAATAATTGAAGATTGTTGAAAATTTGCTACCATTGAAGGTGTTGATGAAACAGTAGTAGACGTTGCGCTGGTTGAATTAATGGTGGTCACACATTTTTTTGTTAATGGGTCATCATTTATAATATTTATATCTGAATAGAATAAATAATTGATTACTTGCTCAGATATTAGCTAGCATAACATACCATCTTCAATTGTGCACAATTTCTTTGCTTTGGAATTCTTTTCTCTTTCACTGATGTCCTTTTCTGAACTGGTGTCGCTTTCTTGGCTGCTCGCTCTTCTTTCTCCCTCATCTGAGGTAATGCTTCTTCACACGTTAAAAGTTGTTCTGCTTGACGACCAAGTACCACCTTCTTGGTTGGCGGCTGTTGAATGACCGATGGACGCATGGATAAAAGAGCATTACAAATTGCTGCTTGAGGACTCACTGATGTTGTGACCACTTCGATTGTAGATTCCGATGCTCCAGATAAGTCCATATGAATAGTGGCTAAAAATAAAGAGAAAATGATGATCAAAGTCTTTTACAAGTAATTCTTGGCGATTTACCATTATGATCGCAAACACTGGTATTGAGTGGTGGAAGTAAACTGTTTATACCATTCAGCGATATCGACGTATCTTTGTCCCATTCACTGATGTTTAAATCCGGAACAACTGTCGTTGCCGATATTGTCGATTTTTTCTCTAAATACAAGTCATTTTTAATTCTGATATTTATACAAACTTTCCGAGAACTTACTTGGTATTTGATGCTACCTTGACTAAGTTGACTTAAGGTTATCACAGCTATTTTTGCTGTATTGACCAGAATTACCCCACGGGACACGTTGACTGATCATAATTCTCCCAAGGTGCTCTCTGGAAATTGATTAGTACTAATTAACGCTAGTGAATTTTAAGAAAATTTTTACATGAATCGATAGCCAGGAGTCACCTTTATTTACCTGTAAAATATCGCTTTTCCAGGATAAAAATTGAGCGAACTATAGCTGAAATACGACTAAATTTTGAGGAGCTGACCATAATTACCCCAAGGCACTCTATATAACTCTTGCTAATTTCTTCAGCGGCTTCTTTATAAAACTTACACCAAAATTATACACTAAAACGACATTTCTATTGAAAACACACGATTTAACTTGCACCATACGAAAAAAAAACAACAATACCCATATTACTAGTACCACCATTTTCAACAATTTTCCGTATACCACCGTCAAGGTTATTTCAATGCCACCACAGTATAATTTTCAAAATAGCAGAGCCTCATAATAATACTAATACTGTGAATAATACTAATTCCTCATCAATAATTCCACCTATGGTCTCACTATCATATGCTACACCTCCGCCGTCGCTACAGTCATTTTCTTTTAATTTAGGTGCTTCACCAATACAAAGACGAAAACGAATAAGATTACAACGAGATTCAATTGACGATTATTTCGAAGAAAAATTAAAACGAACAACACCATCAATATCACATCCATATACACTGCGACCAAAATCCAACCAAACACACAGTAAATCAGATCATTATTCAGATTCATCAGATACTGACGGAACATTATTAACCACAAAAACATCAGCAGATTTACCAACAGCAGAAATCATACCAAAGGACAATTATGATGTATTTCATTGCAAATCGAAACATAATACATCCGACCATGCCATGAACGAAATACATCATATTACTAATACAATGCCAAGTGTATGGAGCTTAAGAAACATTCGACAACAAATGAATGAAAACATTAATGTTATAAACACTGAATTTGCGTCATATATTCGAATTGAAGATGCAATAAAAACATTAATGCATACAAATCAAACATCAATATCAAGAATAAGACGTAGTATAACAACACGCTTGTCAATAGACGGAATGCAGGTCGGTGAAAAATTAAAATTACTCTTTTTACTTGTGAGTTGCCCTACATTTAGTAAACAACAAATTGCTTCTAAATTATTACCAATTTTCATTCGATCGGTGAAAAATAACGGCGAATTGATATAAGAAGTATGCGAAACGATGAGAAGAGACGAGTCTATCTATTTTTAACCTCAGAGAAATGCGTCCTGTCCTTGACATCAATTCGTATTTTACGGATTCGTAAAAGTAACGGAGAATTGCAACGAAGTCGCAAAATGGGTTTGCGAATTCGTGGATTCATTGTATTGCCATATGTATCGCCGTGGTTAGTGGACAAGTGTGGAGCACAGGATCATCATCGTTGAACAAAGAAGAGTAGAACTTTGGTTATAGTAAATTCGACCTAGTTTTTTCTGAGAGCAACTCTAAGGTCTGTTGGGTGGTTAGAAATGTTCTCCTGTTCATTCTGCATCTAACCATGTATGTGTCGATGGAATTCAAGCAGGGGCCGATTCCATCAAATAATTGCCCCGTCCTTTCATTAGATGTGGAAAGACGCGTTTGCGGATACACCGGCCAACGGTGCCATCCTTATCTATAAATTACATAAATATTTATTTTATCTTCATTTCTGTAAACATCTCTGCTTATAATGATAATAAATGGAATTAAAAGTAAAAGTGGTATTGTACATGTTAGCAGAAATGCATTAGATATCCAGGCCTTTAGCAGCAAGCCAGCCGAGTCTCGAGCCACCACCCTACGAGCTGGACCGAGTTTGAGCTGATTTTATAACGCGAGTCACTCTCTAGCGAGCTCTGATGAGTACGAGTCGGGAGAAGCTCTGGCTTGCCCACTCCTGGCTCCTACATACAAACAATCACAGAAACTAAGAAATTTTTATGCTCTATACAAGACCATTTTCAAAAAGAAGTGGTTCCGGCCCCATCAGAAGTCCCTCGGGATTGGGGCCATCCCGCAGGACTAGAGCCGTCCCACAGACCTCTAGGTCCCATAAAAAAGATATTTCTGGGTTCCAGTTCCGTAAAAAGTCCCGTGGAACCGAGACCGTCCGGCAGACCTCTAATATTCACGGTATGTCGCATGGTCTTGCAATGCCACGTAGCATGATTATTTCATTGCCTTCTACGGTTTCGTTTTATATACAATTTTGAAAGCAGCGATAATAAAAGTTTAAAATGAAATCAAAACACTAGAACAAATTTCATTTTAATACTCCACTGCTTTTTGATGGTCTCATAGATCGTAAATTTGATCCAGTATCATTTGAACTATCTTCATCACAACTGACTTGTACTTGAGGTAAAATAATATTCACCAGGAAGGAGTAATCTGTTTAACAATCGCTATCAACCTCATTATTATAGCCACCGCTACTACGACAATAACCTCCCAGATTCTGGGGATTTGTAGGTATGCATCTATACCAATCATAATCGAAGATATTGTACAATATTATTAGGTATTCAATAATACTGGGTAATATTGGGTTCCACAATAGACCGGATTCAACTTGTTTAACCTAAACGTCATTTACATTCATAAAAACGTGAGGAAGCATATTCCGATCGAACTATATATCCCAATTGGGATATAAAAACGCATCCCAGTAGGGATTAGACATACACCGATTAATAATCGATGTTAGGACATTCAGCACAAACAGTCAAAAAAGCACAAAATATAAACTAATACTACGTTCGCTCTAAAATTGACTCACAACCTTAGGGTGTTACTTTGTCACTTCACTTAAGTGCACACACTTGAAGTGAGATTTTTCCCCCTTGGATATATGGCTGTGAATATCGAAACAGGCACTTATCACGATAAGTGTATCGAAAATGTCCTCAATGGAAGTTTTTGCAATGACAAGACAAACGGAAATATTGTTTCGAAGTAAAATTTAGTAGAAACTCTTGACTTTTCCCCGTTCAGGCATGACATCAAATTTCCTGAGAGTTCCACGATCAATATTTCTTTAGGTGTGGTAATTTCAAAAACAAGGAAACATAGGTAACCAACCACGTTAAATCTCGTGGCAATATTTGTTTTTCAGAAAATCTCCAAGAACCTAGTAAAAACCTATATTAGGTGGAATAACTCATTTTTGCCTATTTTCGAGTATAATTAAAGAGTTCAAAATCAAGTCAAGATCCATTGAAATTATGTCAGGATATCAAGATGTACTCTATTTTACCTGCTCAATACGATTTTTTACTTCATAAAAGTAAAAAACATTCTTGTACTTTGAAAGATTTCTAGAACATCTTTTCAAAAGTCCAAGTATTTTCTGCTGATTTTTAAAGCTTTTTCTAAAGCTTTTATGAAAGCTTTGAAAATCAACAGAAAATACTTTGGACTATCTGTCTACGGAAAAAAACTGATAGATTGCTATCGCAGTTTTCGGAGATCCGAAGTGCTGTTTCAAAGATGTCCTTCCGAATAGTTTCACAAAAGGGTTTTGTTTATGAAAATATAGCTTAAATTACCCTCTTTCGAGCGTTGAAAATTGCACGCTCCTATCTTTTATCGTTTTGAAGTTATTCGAAAAACAACCGAGTACATTAAATTTTGGTGCCGATAGTAGAAGAAATGTTGTTATTGACGTTATCTTTGTTGTCTTTTCTTGTGTACCTAAGTTTTAACTGTACCAAATTTTATTAAGAAACAAGAAAAACCTTCTACATATAGAGATATATTTGACTAACTTGCATATTTCCAGACTTGACTCCAAATATCTTCAAAATCAATGTAATACACTCACACTTAAAAATAGCTAACGAGGGAGCCTTTCGAGATGTCCCCTTCTGATTCCAATGATTTGCACATGGATCGATAGACCTCAGTGAGGTAGTAAATACTCTAAAATGATTCCTGCCCATGGCTCTTGAAGATTCGGTTTTCTGGAAAAAACATTTTTGAACCAAATGGTTACTCCAGCGACCAGACGGGGGTAAAGAATTAAGAGTGAAAACCAGCGTAGATGCGTATGTTATCTGTGGCAGTATGACTCCACACCAGATCTTCTTCTGCTCCCGAAATCCTAACGAGGAAGACCTAAATGGTGTTTGGTTACTCACTGTCAACCTCTCCTCACCCCCACCGTCCCCGCAACTCCTCTCAGGACAACCACAGGAGTAAATGTAGTTACCTATCTTCTAGCTTCTACAGTCCTAGCGACTTCAAACATCGACTGCTTTTTAAGATGGACTCCCAATCAGGAAAAAACCTTTTTATCTTACATTTGATTTTGATGAAACTTTCCACAAATGTTGAGCACCTAAAAGTGTGATGAACAACTTGTTCTATCTCGGTATCTCTTACCATTCAATCCACGGTCAAAAAATCCCTTTCACTATGTGCCACTCGTTTTCATATGCTACAAGCTGGAGATGTGGAGTTGGCTTTGTTTAAAACTAGACACCTAACTACATGGGGTAAAGAATCAGTACCGCAAAAACCCCAAACATTCTTTTAAACTTTTCAAAGATCCTTGAATCTTTAAACAACTGAGACCTAATTCAAAAATCAGCTCTCATCATCATGTAGATTTGTACGCACTTCAGATCAAAAGATTTTCTGACCTCCTACTTTTCTTCTTTCGTAATTTCCTGCTTTCTTGACCTCCTACTTTTCTATCTCGCGTTAAGCTTTCCGCTTGATGTTCTACTTTTATTACTTAGAATTTTTCAGCTTGCGGCAAATTTTGCAAATTCCGTTAAAGAACACTATGCCGCAAACGCAAATTCTGCATGCTGTGATACTTTTTAAAAGAAAAGGAAATCCACTACTATTAATAGAATGATGTTTGCTCACCCCGATGCAATTGTTACATTAGAAAGTATGTCGTATGTGACGAGCTATTCCTGTGATTTTTACACTTCTTCTTGAAAAAATTATTAAATGAGCAGTTGGAAAAAAGTTTTAAACTTAAAGCATAATACTGCTATGAAAAACATGTTAATAAAATTCTTCTGAATTTATTTTAAACACTCGAGCTTTAGCAGTATTATACTTTATATTTAAAACACTTCTTCTGCTTGCTTTTCTCCTGTATACATAAAAATAAATGCACACATTACCCAAGTAGAGTAAGTTGGGGTAATTCTGGACAGCCTCTCGAATTTTCACAGTATTTTGACCGTACCTGAAGCATTTTCACTCGGGAAAAAACAGCACTTCGCAGGTAGATAGACCGAACATTTCTCTATCTACTAATGTAAAAATCTTGTTA